AATGCAGGGGTGCCCCTCTAGTCTCCATGAAACGGGCCTGGCACATCAACGTGGAAAATATCTCAACCTACCCCCACCCCTAGGCAGCCTTGACTGGTCAGAACTGATAACCACCTCATTTATGCATCATTCACACGCACTCAGTGAGCACCTTCTGTATACCCGGGTGTGGGTCACAGGTGAGTTGGAGCACCATCAAGGAGTTCAGTCAAGTGAGACAGTTGCATGCCTGTGGTCAGGGCTGTGATGGGAGATGTGGTAGCAGAGTCGGGGGCACCCCTACCCCCAAAGCCCTCTTGGACCTGTGCTTTGATGCTTCAAGTTCCGCTTCCAGACAGTGTGCAGATTCCAGAGCAAGGACACCTGGGCTCTCTCCTACCTTCCCAGTAACCTGCTATGTGTGACTTTGACAAGTGCCTCTGCTTCACTGGGGCCTTGGTTTCCCCAATGAGGACGACTCCAAAGAGGGAGCATTTAGGGGCTCTGCTGGGCGTGTCTGTAGAAGTCCACAACTCATCCCTTTTGCTTAAGCTGGGGTCACAAACCTAACGCCCTGAAGGCCAGGCAGGTAACAACAGTGAGAAGTGGGGGGACGAGGGCACTCGTGTGACTCCTCAGTTCCAGATAGCTGTTGCCATGGGGAAGACGGGCCCAGAGTTTCCACATCTTTCGATATTTCAAGAAACACTGGAGATATGTATTTATATGTGAGATCTCTAACCTAATGTGAAATACTCTGAAAAGACTCTGTGGGTGGAAACACACCTGTGGTCTGTACCCCTCCAGCTGGCGCCCGTGGTTTGACTTTAGGGCAATGACGCGCACACCTTCAAGGGTGCTGAGCCCTGGGAGCTGCTCAGTCAAACACGACGTAGTGAGAACAAGTTAACCGGCTCTTGTCTCGGCAGTTCTGGGAGGAAAGATGGGAACCCTGGGGCTCCGTGGAGGGGGGCACCACAAAATGGGCAGGGGAGGCTGTAGCCAGGGGGGCCTCCATCCCACCAAAGGGACCTGGGGCCAACACTGGACCCTGTTTGACAGGCAGACAAGAGGCCAGCAGAGGGCAAGGCTGGGAGCCCGCTCAAGGGCCGACTGGTGACCTCATGGCGGATGCCCGGGGACCGGCCCACGCTGTTCAATCCGTTCCTGCTGTCTCTGGGGGTCCTCAGGTGGCAAAGGGTAGGCTGGCTCCAGTGGGGGCTGGAGGGGTGAGGGTGGACAGACATGGGGAGGGGAGGGAGGAGGGGGTTGTTAAGCAAAGGAGAGAGAGTGGGGGCTGAGGAGGAGGCAGCTGGGGCCCTCGCATGACAGGAGAGGTGGGAGCAGAGCTCTTAAACTCACCCTGGTCTCAGCAAGCGAGTGGATTTTCCACTTCCGGGGCAGGCTTGGGGGCTGCTTTCAGCTTTTGGAGTGAGGGGTGATGGAATAATCTACACAGCTGAAAGCTTCCAGTCAGCAACCTCCTCTCGCCAGCCCTGGGCCAAGGGGGAGCCAGGTATGGGGGAAGGGAGAGCGGGCTTACAAGTGGCTCTGGGATTGCAAAGTGTGTCTCAGACCTGGGCCTGAGCCAGTTTCACAAACATCTGGCGTTACGTAACCCATCCCCTGCCCAGAGAGGTCTGGAAACACTCAAGCCTCTGGCTAGGTTTTCCATAAGGGCAGGGAGCTGAGACCCGCTCCCTCCCACCCCCTTCACAGCAGGACAGAAGGGGCCTGGCCATCTCCAGCAGCCACAGGCTGGCTCATGGGGTCTCTTCTCTTGGTGAGAGGCTGACGCTCTTACTCACCGCTGTTGGCGCTGCGTCCAGCACTAGGCTGGGCACTACAGAGACAGTGTGCCCATTTTACAGATGAAGGGACTGAGGCCCAGGGAGGTGAGCTGATTTGCCTGAGGTCGCACAGCTTGGGGTATAAAGGAGCTGATTTTCCTCATTCTCAGATGAGAGAAGGGTTGCAGCCAAATTCACTGAGCCTCGGTTGCCACATCTGTCTATTAGGAAAAAGTCTGTGGAGACTTAAGGCTGCAGAGAGGGCTCAGGGAGATCAGGATGCACGGAGGTTGCCGGGCTGCTGTTAAAACACAAACTTTCCCATCCATTTCAGAATTTCCTTTTTTTTTTTTTTAAATTAAGAGGGAGTCTAGCTTGATCGCCCAGGCTGGAGTGCAGTGGCGCCATCTCAACTCACTGCAACCTCTGCCTCCCAGGTTCAAGTGATTCTCCTGCCTCAGCCTCCAGAGCAGCTGGAATTATAGGTGCGCGCCACTGCACCCGGCTAATTTTTTGTATTTTTAGTACAGACGGGGTTTCACCATGTCGGCCAGGCTGGTCTTGAACTCCCGACCTCACGTAATCCGCCCACCTCAACCTCCCAAAGTGCTAGGATTATTGATGTGAGCCACCACGCCAGGTCTTTTTTTTTTTTAATTAAGATGGAGTCTGGTTCTATCTCCCAGACTGGAGTGCAGTGGCACCATCTCGGCTCACTGCAACCTCCGCCTCCCGGGTTCAAGCGATTCTCCCATCTCAGCCTCCTGAGTATGTGGTATTACAGGTGTGTGCCACCACACCTGGCTAATTTTTGTATTTTTAGTAGAGACAGGGTTTCACCACGTTAGCCAGGCTAGTTTCTAACTCCTGACTTCAAGTGATCCGCCCACCCTGGCCTCCCAAAGTGCTGGGATTACAGGCATGAGTCACCCCACCGAGCCCAGAATTTCCTTTCGCTGCTCTTTGGGTGAGCAGGCAAGAACGGTTATCTGAGTAGTGTGTTGCCTCTAAGCCATGGGCAGGAATTACCTTGTCAAACTAACTAAAGGTCATCAACACACAGCACGTCTGGCAGGAGGGGGCAGGTAAGTCCTTGGTAGAGCGAAGGAGGAGCGAAGTGGGGAAAGCAGTCTGGGGTAACGATGCTGGTGATATTAACCAGCACTTATTGTGCGCCTACTACATGCCCAGCTCTGTGTTCACTGCGTGGCTCACCTAATTGCGTTTCATCCGCACTCCCAAGCGCAGTTAGACTCGTACTGTCCATTTTACAGACGACGAAGTGACGCTCAGAGAGGGAGGGTCACTTGCTCCAGGTCACACAGGGAGCAAGGGGCAGAACAGAACTGAGATTCAAATCCTGCTCTGGCTGACCTCAGAGCCCAGTGCTTCTAACATGCCCCCTAAACCACTGCCTTCACATCCTGATCTCTCTGAGCCCTCCTGCGGCTCTGGGAGTCCCCATAGATTTTCGCCATTAGAAAGATGCGGCAACTGAGGCTTGGTGAGTTTGGCTACAGTGGTTCTCTCATGTGGGAGTGAGGGAAATGAGGAGCAAGGGATGGAACTGCCAGTGGGGCCTCCCAGTTACACAGAGCAGATTTACACTTCTCTTGGGCTGAAGCAGTGAAATTAGCCCAAGGCCAAGAGCCAGAAAGCCTGGCGTCGATTCTGGCTTGGCCCCTAACTTGTGTGCCCTGCTCTGAGCCTTACCTCATTATTTTCAGTAGAGTAACAGTTTGAGACTGGATAAACTCAAAGTTCGGTAGCTCTGGTCTTTGCCAGTTTAATAACTCACTCCTGGGTCCCTGAGGCTGTGCCGTCTCTGACCTGCCAGGATGAGTTGTGGTTCCTTCATCAGTGTATTCATTCATTCGACCCGTGCTTATGGAGGATGTACTGTGGGCCTAGGCCCTACGCTGGCTTCCAAAATGTAGACAAAAAACATTCCAGCCCTGGCCACTGGAGCACAATTAGGTGAGGACACTGACATGTAACTGATGAGAACAGTGTGGTCATCACTTTAGTGGGGAAATGTACGGATGTAGGGAGCACTGGGCCAGCAGTTCCTAAGTCTGCTGGGGACACTTTGGCTTCCTTTGGCCTGAGACTTGAAGGAAGAAATTTTCCAGGCCAACAAGCATTGGGAGGGGGAAGGAGGGAGGGGGAAGGGGAGAAATAAAGAGAGAGAGAATCAGTGTGTGTGTGTTGGGGTATAGAAGACAGGAAGAGAAGTGTTCCAGGCACAGCAGAGAACATTTGCAGTCAGGGGGTAGAAGGACCTGTCTTATTCTGGGAATAAGGGAGGGGGAAGGGGAGAAATAAAGAGAGAGAGAGAGAGAGAGAGAGAGAGAGAGTGTGTGTGTGTGTGTGTTGGGGTATAGAAGACAGGAAGAGAAGTCCAGGCACAGCAGAGAACATTTGCAGTCAGGGGGCAGAAGGACCTGTCTTATTCTGGGAATTCCTAAATTCCTAGTAGTCTAGTGTTGTGTATCTTTTTTTTTTTCTGAGATGGAGTCTCGCTCTGTCGCCTAGGCTGGAGAGCAGTGGCGTGATCTCCCCTCACTGCAACCTCCGCCTCCCAGGTTCCAGCGATTCTCCTGCCTCAGCCTCCGGAGTAGCTGGGATCACAGCCACATGCCACCACGCCCGGCTAATTTTTTGCATTTTTACTAGAGATGGGGTTTCACCATGTTGGCCAGACTAGTCGAACTCCTAACCTCAGGTGATCCACCCTCCTCGGCCTCCCAAAGTGCTGAGACTACAGGCATAAGCCACAGTGCCTGGCCTCCAGTGTTGTGTATCTCTTTGGTTATTTATTGTATTTTGCAAAATTGACCAAAGTATGTGTCTCTCCAGCCTGTCAAATGTGAATCTGGAAGGCCAGGATGACAGGCAGGAGTCAGGTTGTGATGGTTCCTGTCTGCCTAGAACAGGAATGTAGCACTGATCTGTCAGCATTGGTGATGTGTGGAAGAACTTTGAGCAGGGAAGTGGTCTGGTCACTGTGTTGAGGGTATTGGGGGGAGTCACAGCGGCCAGAAAAGCCTGGAGGAGGCTGGTGCTGTTAGGTGCTCAGGGCACTGGGCCAGGACCCTGGTGGTAGGTGAGGTCTCCTGCATGTTCATTCATTCTCCCAAGGACTGACTGCCTGAGTGAGGTGCAAGGGTAGGGGAGGAAAACTCAGCCCGGGGTGCTAGAAGGCCAGTTTCTAGAGTTAGATGGACTTACCCTTGGCCTCATTCCTCATGGTGGAGAGACTCCTGGCAGCAAATGCTGGGAAAGAACTTCAGCTCCCTGGGCCTCCATTTCTTTATCTGCAAAATGGGAATAGTAATTATAAAAGCAATAACTTTTTTTTTTTTTGAGCCGGAGTCTCACTCTGTCTCCCAAGGTGGAGTGCAGTGGCACAATCTCTGCCCACTGCAACCTCCGCCTCCTGGGTTCAAGCAATTCTCCTGCCTCAGCCTCTCACATAGCTGCATTACAGGCACCTGACACCACGTCCGGCTAATTTTTGTATTTTTAGTAGAGATGGGGTTTCACCATGTTGGCCAGGCTGCTCTTGAACTCCTGATCTCAAGTGATCCACTCACCTTAGCCTCCCAAAGTGTTGGGATTACAGGTGTGAACCACCCCGCCCGGCAAGAGCAATAATTTTTGAACCCCAAATCGAGATGGCAGAATAACTGAAATGGCAATTATTCCAAGCTTCCCTGCCTAAGGATAGCTAATGAGGGATAAAGAGGTTGTCCTAGGTGCCTTACTTGAATTAACACTTAATCCTTCCAGCAACCTCATGAGGTAACAGCATTACCCCATTTTACAGAGAGTGAAATTGGGCACCGAGAGGTACCTGCTTAAGATAACACTAGGTTGTAATCCCCGTGCCACACGAGCTTCCTAGTGCATTGAGCAACCAATTCCACCACGGTCCCTCCCCACCTGCAGGAAAAGAGCATCTAACAAACGGCCCAGGGTTCTGGGAACCTGAGCGACGGGTGCTCGCCCACACCTGAAAAACCCAAAACCAAAAAAGGCCCATTTGTGAGGAGTGGGTATTGGGAAAGACCCTGCCATCCAAGAACTCACTTTGTGTCCAGCTTACTCGCTAGGAATTCCGCCTCTTCCTGTGCGACCTCGGGCAAATCGGCTCACCCCTCTGAGCCTCCGTTTTCTCATTAGCAAAACGAGACCTCCCTCCCAAGTCTGTGGTGAGGACGAAAATCGACTCTTGGCGAGTGGGACCCGCTGAGTAGTTAGTACAGGGTGCTTTGCCCCGAGCCCCGCCAAATCTAGGCGCCGAGCTCTAGCTGACCCATCGCTCCGAGGCCGGGGCGGGAAGCGCAGCCTGGGCGAGGCGTGCCACGCCCGGCCGCCCGCATCCTCCGCCCCCACGCCATGGCCGGACGGAGTCACCTGCACGCTGGGCCCTTCCTTCCTCCCAGCGCGCCCGCGGCCCGGGCCCGCCCGCCCTCCGGCCGCCACCGCCCTCCCCTCCCTGCGGCCCCATCCGCCCGCCCCGCGGTCCCGCCGCCCTAGCGCGCCCGTCCCGTCGCGGCAGGTCCCGCCCCCGGCCCGGCCCGCGCTCCCATTGGCCCGCCGCGGCCCCCGCCGCTGTTTGTCTCGGCTTCCCCGCCACCCATTGGACCGCTCGGGTCCTCCCAGGAAGTTTGAAAAAAAAAAAAAAAAAGTTTTATGGGCGGATGGAAGGGGCCGGGACCGCGCCGGGGAAGGGAAGGGCCGGAGGCGCGGCGGCGGGCGGCCGAGAGGGGCGGCGGCGGCGGCGGGGTCCCCGCGCCGCGGAGCCCGGCCCGAGAGCCGCGTCCACCTTCCTGCCTCCTGCTCCCGCCGCCCTGGGGCGCCGCCATGACGGTGAGTGCCCCCGTCAGCCGCCCGCGCCCCAGGCCGGGAGGAGGGCGACGACCCCAGGTAGAGCCCAGCCTCTCCCCTCCGGGGCAGCCCCATCCTCATTTCCCGGAGGCTAGAGGAGGGCTGGGCCGGAAGATGGGGCCACCTCTGATGCGCCGGTCGGCCAGACCGGCCTCACCCTTCCCGTAGGCTCCTCCTCGCCTTCCCTCGCCCACTCAACCCCAGAAGCCCAGGCGACCCCGAGGGGACGGAACGACCCGTCCTGGGCGCCCCCTCCTCACAGTTGCGGCACCAGTAAAGGGTGGATTCGGGGCGACCCTTTCCCACCTCTCCTCCAGCCCCCTAGGCAAAGACCCGATACCCCAAGGCGGCCAGGGGCCCCAGGGAGGAGCGGAGGTGGGCCTGAGCTCGGGAGGGGCGCTCCTGGGCGCGGATGGGTCGCGCTGACCCGGGCCTTGGCAGGCCGGCCCCCCGTGTGGCCGGTGGCCCGAGCTCGGGTGGGCTAGAAGGGTCCGGACCGCCCCACCCACAGCCCGGGAGCCAGTCCCGGGACCTCTGAAGCGGCGGGGTACCACGTCCTCCCGGGCTTGCACTTTGCAGCAGTCCTGGGCCTTGGGACAAGCCTGCTAGTCTGGGTAGGGGGCACGATGGCAGGGGTTTGCCTTTGTCATGGGGGTGAGCTGTACTCAAGCCCCATCAATTACCTGTGCCATAGTTAGCATATTGAGTCTCACAGCTGGGTTCACTGGACTCCCCACTTCACAGCCGGATAAACTGAGGCTTGGGGAGGGGCGCTGGTGAGTTGCCCGAGGTCACCCCAAGTATAAGGGAAGGAGTAGCTCCTTTCCCGGTCCTTCTGGCCCACTGACCGTGCTGTTCGGGAAGGGAGGGGTGGGGCTGCTTTTGGTTTCTGGCTAATGCTTCAGGGAGCCTCTGACAGCCCAGTGGCCTTCCTGGGGGAGGATGAGCAGGGTGTGTGTGCGCACAGGCGCCAGTAGTCGTCTTTCAGGGGAGTGGAGACCCTTTGGAGGAGTGGGCTGGGCTGCTGGGGGGCGTGGCACGCCTAGCCCCTGCCCTGTGAGTGTGATAGCCAGACCGCCTTGCCTGGACTTCCTCACCCTCCTCCTGGACATCCTGCCACCTCCCTGCTGGCCCTTCCTGTCGTCAGCAGCCTCCCCTTCCCTGTCAGGAGCAGAAGGGATGTGGGGGGAGGAGCTGAGTGAGTGTCCTGGGGCCAGGAGGAGAGTGGTTGCTGTGCCCAAGTGCCCACCTGCCTGCTGGCCCTTAGCCGTGTGCTTTCACGTTACCAGATCTGAGCCTTGAAGGTTGGTAGTAACATCTTCATCAAACAGATGAGGAAACCAAGGTGTGGTGAGGTGAAGTGTCATGCCCCAGGTAGCTTAGTGAGTCCCAGGCTGAGCCAGAATTTGTGTCCAGGTCCGTTCCAGCTTTCTTTCACAGTTGCCTGTCCTGGGGGCAGCACGTTCTGAGCAAGGGTAAGGCTGTCAGAAGCAGTGTGTGGGGTGCTTGGAGGACGGACAGCACGTCCCTGCTGGTGGCAGGAGCCTTCCCGAGGGAGGTGTCCTCCTGTGATTATAAGGTTTCATCAGGTGGAGATGGACTAGCGAGGAGACAGCAGTGTGGACAGAAGCAGGTGGTTGTGTTTGAGAAGTAGCAAGAGCTTAGGATCTCCCTGGGCAGTCTCTGTCTCAGGTGGAAGACAGGGTGGGAGGAGGGCCTCACTGCTAGGGCTTGGTCAGGGGCAATAGGGAGCCATGAAAGGTTTTAGAGCAGAGAGGAGGCTATGATCACCATTAATAGTGTTCAATGAGTTCATCCTGGCTGCCATGCAGACCTCAGCCTGCTCTCAGCTGGTGCTACTCCTGTATCCGCCTCACAGCCTCCTCCCCTGGCCCCAGTGCCCTGAGTCAGGGATTCATACAGGGCAAGTGGCACAGGTGTGTGACTGTGTGAGGCTCCAGGGCTTCAGGGAGTCGGGATCCTCTTCCACCCCTTTTGCCTTTGCCTGGGTGCAGCTTTACTCCTGGAGCAGCCTTCCCCCTCGCCTGCTGGGCATCAAATTAGATTTGGTCCCTTGTTTACTGTCTGTTTCCTGCAGTCCACCAGGGCAGGGGCCACAGCTCTTGGTCACAGCTAATTTCCTGGCCTAGAACAGTGCCTGATGCTTTAAAAAAAAAAAAAAAAATTCTGCAGACACACCCTGAGCCCCATCTGTGCTGAGTCCTGGCAGGTAAACAGTGTGTGGCCCTGACTGAGTTGCATCTAGTCTAGCCTGTGAAGGATAAGTAAAGGGCCTCAAAATAGTCACGGATGCAACAGAGGCCTCCAAGAGGGGCCGTGGGAGAGCAGACTGGGGCCACTGGTGGTACGGTGAGTGGCATGGACTGTGAAGGGACCTCAGAGGTGGCCATTAAACTGAGTCTTAAGGTCTGAGCAGGGGCTTGCCTGGTCATCAGAGGAGGAGGAAGTCTAGTATTTCAGGCCAAGGACACGGCACGTGTGAGGGCCCGCAGTCCTGGTGTGTTGTGATCGGCAAGGACTATGCAGTGGTATAAACACAGGCCCCTCAGCAAGGGGAGGCTAGGCTGGAAGAGTGTGATGAGGCTTCCCTGCCGTCCTGAGGCAGCTGGACTTTGTTTTAAAGCCACTTGGAGACCAGGTGTGGTGGCTCATGTGTGCCTGTAATCCCAGCATTTTGGAAGGCCGAGGAGGGGGGATGGATCACTTGAGGTCAGGAGTTCAAGAGCAGCCTGGCCAGCATGGTGAAAACCCATCTCTACTAAAAATACAGAAATTTGCTGGGCATGGTGGCGGGCGCTTGTAATCTCAGGTATTTGGGAGGCTGAGGCAGGAGAAATGCTTGAATCCAGGAGGTGGAGGTTTCAGTAAGCCGAGATGGTGCCATTGCACTCCAGTCTGGGCAGCAGAGACTCTGTCTCAAAATAAATAAATAAAGCCACCTGGAGCCGTCCCTGGAACTGTTAAGCAAGCCTGGGATACCAAGCCTTTTTGAGTGAGTCTCACCAGCCCGAGGGTGCATAGAGGGGCTGTGTCCCTGGCTAGGTAGGAGGTGGGGCCGTGAGAACCTGTCAGTGCTTCCAAAAGGCAGAAGGAGAAACTGAGCTTCTAGCAGGTGAAGAAGAGGTAGCTGGGACTGAAGAGCCCTGTACGAAGGGGCGTCGTGTGAGATTTAGATGATCGGACCTTTTGAACCTGGGGACAGGTTTCCCTGCCAGTTTAAAAACACATTGGTTGGCGGGGCACATTGGCTCACACCTGTAATCCCAGCATTTTTGGAGGCCGAGGTGGGCGGATCACTTGAGCCCAGGAGTTTGAGACCAACCTGGGAAACATAAGGAGACCCCATCTCTACAAAAAAAACAAAACAAAACAAAAACAAAAACAAATAAATACAATTAGCTGAGTGTGGTGGAGTGCCTATGTCGTCCCAGCTACTTGGAAGCTGAGGTGGAAGGATCGCTTGAGTCGGGGAGGTTGAGTCAGCAGTGAGCTGTGATCACACCGCCACACTCCAGTCTGGGCAGCAGAGCAGGGCCCTGTCTCAACAAAACTCAAATTGGTGACCTTCTATCCCCAAGGTCACTGTGTCATGGCGTGCCTGACATGGTATGTGGTGTGTCTGTACTGGGCTCTGGAGGATCACCAGGCTTCTCCTTGTACAGACACGTTCAGTCCTGTCGGAAGCTGCGGGAGGGGAGGACTGCCTCATCATTTGCCACATCAGGCAGCCAGGACTCAGAGAGGGGGATGTGACTTAGGAAGGTCACAGCGACTCCACTTCCCAGGCAGCCCTAGAGGTTTCAGCCTGACAGCCTGTCATTCCTGCCCTGATCTCCCAGCCTTAGCCCAGGGACTTTCGCCTGGGGCTGCCCAGTGGTGCCAGCTCTGTGGGCCCAGGAAGCCTAGCTCCTCCGGGCTAGGTGGGGGTTGGGGAGATGGCCTAAAAAGCACAGAAATTTAGACCAGGGGGTAGATATTTCCTCAGCAAGTTTTTCCTGAGCCTTGCTGTGGTCAAGCCCCCTGCAAGGCCCTGGGGCCACAGGAGGTCTGAGACTGAGGGGAAGTGAAGCCAGGTGTGGTCACCAATCTTCGTTCTTAGCTTAGGATTGCCCTCGGCAGCCTCTGTCTCAGGTGGAAGATGGGGTGGGCAGAATACAGAGCAGCAGGACAAATGCAGCCCCAGGGGTTCTCGGCTCTGAGCAGAGCCTCTGTCTCTCCCTTACACAGGTATGCAGGGCGGAGCTGGGATGCCAACCTACTGGGTCCGCCGACTGTAGCTGTGGGGGGTTCTGGATCCTCAGCTGCCCCAAGCCCCCCTTGGTCCACTTCCTGTACCTGAGAAGGGGCTCCATGGGAGGAGGGTGGGTCAGGAGAGGTGGCCAGGCAAGGTGGCTCTGGTTTCCAGCTGCCACTGTCACCGCCCACCCCACTGAGCCATGCCACCCTCTCTCTGCACGCAACCAGACACCTTGGCCTGGTGAGGCCTCGATGTAGGGGCTGATAGGTAGGCTCAGAGCCATGGCAACAGGTGGCCACCTCCTCCCTGCCGGTGTCAG